ATGATCTTGCAACCGAGTTCCTTGCAGTGTGATTAAATTGAATTCAGGCCTTTCTCTTTGAGGTGGATGTGTGTGCACCTGTTAAGAACATCTCCTTTATGTGGATCAGGGTGGTACAGCTCCTGGTACAGTCCAGCTGAGATTTCAACCTCGCCTTGGAAAATATCTTGCTTTAGCTGCAGAGAATGTTGTATCAATATTGGATGCAGAAACTCAAGCTTGTCGACACTCATTACAGGTGTTTTACTGACCTTTTTTCTCTTTGAAATTCTATGTAGGCATAGATATAATGATTGTGATTTGTTTATGCATTTTATAATGACAGGGACATACGAAACTGATCCATTCGGTATGCTGGGACTCTAATGGTGAGTTTCTAGCATCTGTTAGTGAGGACTCTGTTAGAGTTTGGAGTTTTGGATCACGAAGCGAAGGGGAATGTGTTCATGAATTGAGCTGTAGTGGCAACAAGTTTCACTCTTGTGTTTTCCATCCAACAATTCCATCATTGCTGGTCATTGGCTGTTACCAGGCAAGTAATTTTCTTGTTTGTTGCGAGCTTCTCGAAAATCCTCTTGGTAGTACACGGGATAGTTTTACTAGTTTCAGGACCATTGGTTTTCGAATCCTTGTTTGAAACACTGGAGTCATGTTGGGTTCAATTACATAGCAATTGTTTTGTTCATCTGCTGCAGTCGTTGGAGCTATGGAATATGACAGACAATAAGATTAAGACGTTGTCGGCTCATGAAGGACTAATAGCTGCATTGGCGGTCTCACCCGTGACAGGGTTGGTTTCTTCCGCTAGTCACGACAGGTTCGTTAAATTGTGGAAGTCGTACAATTGTTAGCAGAACTTGCGAGTTTATCGATGTTGTGGTTGTTCATTGTCGATGTGGATTGTTTGTTTTTGCTCCCCCATAACCCTAGTTGCTAGCCATCAACCTTGCCCGTTGTTGTATGCATGATATGTGACCTTGTATGTTAAGTTCTCTGACTTTTGTTTTTATTTTTTCTTCTCTTTTCCTGTGCGGATTCCACTTTTTTATCGGGGGGAAAATGGTGAAATTGTGCTTTAGGCCCCAATTGAATATGATAGATAATTCAGTTTAGTCCTTGGCATAAAATTTTACCTATGTTCTCCCAACAATCTATATTTTCATCTTGCACTTCCAATGAAAGATTTATGGCTTTGCCCTCAAGGAAGATCCACCAGTCACCTAAAAATCCAAATTTGGCTTAGAAACACTAAGGGTGGTCCAAACAACAAGAAATGTCATACGTAAGATCTGCGTAACAAGTATGATTGTATAAAGTTTAACGACAAACTCGTGAAAATATTAATCATATAAAAATTATTAAGTCACATAAAACAACCTATATTTGATTTTAAAAAATGAACGTGGTAATATTTTATGGGAAAAATCGATTCAAATTGGCTTGGTTTATTATCAGAATTCAGAAGTTTTAATACAGAGGAAGTATGTTCGAAGCAATTAGGCGTAAATAAAAAACAAAAGCGAATTCCTTAAAATTTGTAACTTGGAGTCCAACTAACAACCATGACCACTTAACTATTGATGGATTTTATTTTGACAATTGTTCTTTTAATTTTGTTAATTTTACTATTTAACTATTTAAGTGTTATAAATCAAGCCATCATTCGTTAACATTTAAGGGAAAAAACTAAAATAATTGTAAAAAATTAGTATAAATATGCATTCAATCTTTAATATTTACGTATTATTTATTAGGATGAATTACGTATTTAGTACATAAACTATCAGTTATGGTTCATTTTAGTATTTAAACTTTTAATTTTTTTAAAATCATATCTAATGTTTAGTTTTTATTTCATTTTAGTGCACTGTTAAAAACTTAACATTAAGTTTTGAAAAAATTTGAAAGTTTAGGTACTAAAACGGACCAAAATTGATAGTTTTGGTACTAAACACGTTAAGTTTTTAACGGCGAGATACTAAAATACAACAAAAATTAAACGTTAGGTATGATTTGAAAAACTTAAAAATTTAGATACTAAAATATATCAAAACTGATAGTTTAGGTACTAAAGGCAGTTTACCCTATTTATTTTAAAATTGATGAGAATCCCATAGAAGTCTCAAGAGTTGGCCTTTTACGTAACTTTCTTTTCAGAGCATGCACTCTTGGCTTATTCGAGATGACAAACAACGGTGAAATTTTATAATGCGACACATTGTATATAAGGTTAAGGTAATACATTATCGGTTTTGTTATTATTTTTTAATAAAATTAATAAAAAATTATCTAAAATATTATTATTTTTACTTAAACCATCAATGTTTTTTAACATTTCTAGTAAACTGCCCAATAATAACAAAATCGATAAAAAAAAATAACAAACCCGATAACATTTTACTGGATATATTAACAAAACCGGTAAAATGTCCAATAATAAAAAACCGATATAAATAATGATATTTTCAATAATTTACCTTAATCTTATATTACGGGTGCAAGACTTTCCCCAAAACAACGTATTCATGTTGGAACACTAACACATAATTTTGAATCGATGTAGTAAATTAGTCCCATCTGGCAATGATTTACAGGCAGAAAAATAGGGCACCAGAGTGCATGCATGCTTGCCTGTCGGCTTGTTGGTGGCCCCTACTATTGCCTTAATTTGATCGGCTCAATGCATTAACTTAACCCATTAATACAAGGAGTTGACCGATCCTCTTGTCGTAATTTGAACCATTTTGATCAGAGAGTGAAAATTATTTAAAATTATATTATAAATTTGAAATTCGTTTTTTAATACGAAAAAAGAAATAATTATTTGTATTCTAGTAGAATTTGTACATTCAATGTATTCGTGTTTAATAATTTGGTACGTTTAATATTTGTATTTAAGGAATTAAATTTAAAATGGGGGCTGGTACATTTTGGATTTTGTTTGTGTTGATACCAACGAAGGAAACTTCCATGCAACAACGAGCTTTTTCCTTGTTTGGTGTTTACTGTTTTGTTTTGCCACCTGAATTTTCCCTTTCAAATATTTTTTACCTTGCATGGAAAATAGTATTTCAAAAATATATTTATTAAATGTTAATTAATATGATATTTTTTAATGAGGTTGGCATAATAACTTGCATGTCGTTATAAGTATACCTCATGTTATTTTTTAAAAATAATTTTAAAATTATTTAATGATGTTATATATAAAAAATAATGTCACATCAATATGGATATACTTGGTTGCCACGCAAGTTGTCATACCAATAGTATTAAAATTTGAACGTTTTAGTAGATTTTTTCATTGAAAAATAATTTGATTCCTTTTTAAAGATTAAAAACATAGATGGAGTCAGAATTAAATATTGACAGATGTCGAAATATTAGACTAATTAAGAAAAATATAAAGATTTATTAGGTATTTAAACTCGAAATTCATCATGAACCAAACGATTTTAGTGATTAAGAGATTGTTGTTATCCTTGAGATCTCGAGTTCAAGCACGTATATAGGAGTATGAGCGTTCATTGTCAAATAGTTGAAAGTCTTTGTACATATATTACCTTGTATTCACCCTAAAAAAACTCAAAACTCAAAAGACAACTTCTTATTTGTCTAATTTTTAAACTTACAAGGACTTTAATTGTAATTAGACCAAAAATTTGAGAATACATACTTATCATTCTTTAGTTCGACCCTACTTGATTAAATATTTAATAAATTTTTATATTTTTTAAATTTAAATATTTATTTTTACATGAACCAAAATACTATTATACAAAAAATATATCGAATATATAAAATTTAATAGGGGTCGGTGGCCCTGTGAGCTCTGTCCCTGGTTAAAAACTAGATTTAACTAAAATTGAGTAAAATTAATAAAAATATAAACATTGGAGATTATTTTATCATTATTTTTATGCTAATCAAGTCTTATTCAAAATTTGAGAATAGTTCAAGTCTTATTATAGGTAAATTTATTCAATTTTATTCTAATTTAAGTATAAATATATTTTAATTATTAGACTATTCTTTTATCGCTTGTGCATTATACTAAATCATTAATTATATTTATACGTATGTATTTTGATTACCTTTAAAAATTATTACACTTTTTAGCTAAAAAATCATTTTTATTATAATTATATAAATCCTTAATTTTAATTTTTTGAAGTTAAGTCATCAACTTTTTATTTGAATTCAAACGAGACTTTAATGTTTAATCTGCCATCAAATAAGCTTTTAATATAAATAGATCTTTTATTTATGATGAAGATTTATTATAAACCAATAAAATGTGAGTTTATTTGGTTTAATAATAGTAGTATAAGGATAAAAGACATTTAAAAAAAGAGAGTAAATTACAATGTTGTAACTTCTGTTAATTTGAGGACATAGCACATGAGTAAAAATGAATTAATTTTAATTTGATAATTGAATTTTAGATAGAATATTAATTTGACTTTGTATTTTTAGATAAAATGTTAATTTCATCCCTAACTTTTAGATAAATATCAATTTAGGTCATGAGTCCAATCAAAGCCTCACTCTCGATTGTCATTCATCACCATTTTCGATCACCATCAGTTATTGTCATCTTCATCACCAACTGGTGACTGTCATTGTAGATGATCGTTGCACCCTAAAATTTATAGTTCACTCGTTAACCTCATGAATGTAAATCTGATGTCCGTTTCATAAAAAAATACCATGAACTTTATAAATCTAGCATAAAATCCTTAAAAAATAAATTTTAATAATAGTTTACTATTATATTTATTTAAAAATAAGATACCAAAATGACTAAAAATGAGGAAAAAAAACCAAGTTCAGGACTAATGTGGAAAATTCAAGAATCAATTTGAGAAAAGTTACTAAATTCAAGGACTACCTATTGTTTTATCCCTTATTTTTTAAAAGAACTTTAAACTGTAGCAGCGTCCCGCCCACGGAGTTACGCTCCTCTCTGCTTATATCAGACAAATAATCTAACGCTCTCGGAAGCCTCAGCTCACTGTCCCTCACTGTACCTTTTTCACTTTCTCTTAAAAACAGAGAAAAAAGTTGAAAAAAGCCAATATAAAGTAGAGAAAACCTCTACAGAGTTCTTCATTTGCGGTCTCGCGGAGCTCCCCAGAACGCAGTAAGCTTCTTCTTCTTTTTCAAGTCTTTTTAGCGGTTGCTATTGGTTTTTGCATTTGAATTACTATAGTTAATAATGATGGTTGTCAGATTGGTAGAGTTCACAAATTTGAACTTTTAGATCTATAACGGAGCTTTTATTTTGTTTTTTCAGAAAATTTCTGCATTTTTTTTAACTTTATCAAGCATTCAAGCTGTGTTTTATTTTTATTTTAGTATTGAAATTTATCCAAACATTCAAGTGCATCACATTTTTCTTATGAATCTGTGGTTTTTATTAAGAACTTTAAATTATAATCCATTCGGGGATTTGGACTCAGTCTTTCCTTATTATTATTATTTACTTGCTAGCTCGGAATTCGGATAGGGATCGATGATTTTTCTCCTTTTTTAAGAAATGGCATAAATGCTAAAATGTTTCATTTTGAAGGGTTTAGGCTCCAAAAATAAAAACAAAATAACTTAATAATATATAGAATCCTTTATAGCCTACTCAGAATACCGTAAAAATAATTAAGTTTTTTTTAACTGCACATTGCGAGACACGCTTCAACCAGTAAAAATAATCCTTGTCAAACTCCTCGGAGACACACTTCAAGTGTTGGAACATGAGAATTGAGACATTGATTTTGGACACCGTAGGTCTCACATTCCAATATTTGAAAATGGAAAAGGGTGACCTTTCATAGCTCAATTTACTCTTCATAATGGAAAACGTAGTTCTGATTTTACAAAACAAATGGCATTTTGTGCCTGAGGCTAAAGTTTATCTAGTCAATAATTTTGTCATATTGTTGCAGAGCTTATACGGTGTGAGAAATGACTTTCGTCATAAGATTTGTTTTGTTTTTTTCTCTCTCTAGAAAGTTGCAGTTTAACGCGTTCATTATTCTCATCATGTTGCATTGATTCGGTGTTAGAAATTCAGGTTCAATGAAAACAATTTCAAATTGAAAATCATGCATTGCTCTTCCAGAAGGCAATCAAGTATGAAGAAAGAAAATGAACTTACTGAAAAAATTGAAGAGCCTGCAGGACGGATTACTCGAGCACGTGCTAAAGCACAGGGAGGTGCAGCCTCAAAATCGTCCTTCAAACAAGTTCAAAAATGTGTTCATCGAATGAACTCCAAACGTGCATCATCTGATGAGAACAAGGCTTCTGTGACTGCTACTGTTGGCCTTGAGCCTAAAAGAAGGGCAGTGCTTAAAGATGTAACGAATGTCTGTGCTGACGATATGCACATGGACTGCTTAAATGCAAAAAAAAATCAGGTGAGGACATCTTTTGATTCCCCCCCCCCCCCCCTGAAATTCAGCTTGCAAATTTCCTATGCACTAATAACATCTATTTAGGACCTTCGAGCTTGTTTACTTTACTACTACTCAAATAAACAACGGAGTAGATGAAAATTCTTGCTGAAATTGGTCTGAAATGCAGGGATGGGTTTTTCTTCTATTTATTCTCCTAGTGGCAAAGTAATCTGTACTTGCTAAATTATCGAAGTTTCTGTTATTATTACTGGTTGACAGACCTCCAAGAAAACCATTAGAGATCCTAGAGGGAAGAACAAAGAAATGGTTGAAGATATCTTCACGGAGATTCCATTAGTGGAAGATGTGAAAGCAAAGTTAGCTGAAGACTTGTCAAAAATAATGATGATGGAGGCACAAGAAAGCACTTTAACAGTAAAACTGGAAAAAAGAGCAGTAGCAGAGCCTAAGTGTCATGCTGAAAAAGAATGTGCTGTACCAGATTCAATGCCTCCAATACAGGCTTTTACCATGCCTATTGGACACCAAAGCCCTCAAAATAAAGGTTAGCGCTCTTTCTAAAATCATCGAAGGAATGGCACAGATCATGCACTCCAGTTTTCTAAGAAATAGCGTTCCTCTGTTTTAGAAGTACTAGGTGTCAAGACTGCTCTTAGGTTAACACACGATAAGATACTGCAAAGTATTACTACGGTTCTGTTTTTGATAAAAATGTTTAGTGCTTTTAAGTCCGTGTCATGTTTATGGAACCTTATTCTGAAAATGCGGCATTATCTGTGTTTTACCTTTTAAGACAACTTTCTTTTGGAAGAACATAATGTTTTTGGAAGAAATTAGCCAGTTAGCCCTTAAAATATTATGCTTGTAAATTTATGTTGGTTTTGAACTTTTAATTGATGTTGCAGAAGAAGATGAGGTTTGCAAGAAATTAGAAGGCTCGAAAGATGTTGTCGATATTGATTTAAACCTAAAAGATCCTCGAGTGTGTAGCTTGTATGCCCCCGACATATACAATTATATACGTGTTACTGAGGTTGGTGCTGCAATTTTTCATTCACTAATTGCCAATATATGGTTGTTGTACTTTTCGATAGGAGCACTCCATTTTCACACTGAACACTTTCCTATCTTATCATTCTGAATTTTTTGTTTGATGCTGCTGCTACTCTCTCTCTCTCTTTTAACATTTTTACAAGTGCATTATGGAGTAACAGTGATTCCTGTTGGCAGTATAATTGTTATTTTTGCTTTGATGATGGATTTGTTCTTTCTTTCTTCTCATTGAATGGAATGTCTCTTAGCTTGCAAGTTTTACTCTAGCGGCAACTTGTTGATACTTATTTCATCAGATTATCTTCTGCAGCTTAACCGAAGACCTTCAACTAATTATATGGAGCAGGTGCAGAAGGATATTACCCCAAGCATGCGAGGAATTTTGATTGACTGGCTAGTGGAGGTAAGTCAATGTAGTTAATTTATAGCCAAATAGTTACTTGCATCTCCACATGCTTGAATGTAGGATAAAAGTTGAAAAAGCTGCAGGCTTTAGCCTAGTACGAGATCTTATTATGCAGTTCTATTTTTCTTTTTCACCAGAACTTTTCTCTCATGAGCAGAGACAAAGTCTACTGTTTATTGTTCTCCTCACCCAAGAGAATCATTTATTTATCAAACTTCTGCATAGAAGGATATTCTGTTTGTTCTTGAAGCGTATAAAGAGTTAGTTTTTCGTACTTTTTTGTTAGTATGAGCTAAACTTTAGGCTATTTGATATGCTTGCTGCTATTTACAGTGTTTCTTATTGTTTCAGGTTTCTGAAGAATATAAGTTAGTCCCAGACACACTGTACCTCACTGTGAGCCTCATCGATCGTTTTCTCTCCCACAATTTTATAGAAAAACATAGACTCCAGCTACTTGGTGTTACCTGCATGCTAATTGCATCGTAAGTTCTTTAATTTATTTCCTGGGACTTAAGAATTATGTTCCATGCATCTCTTCTGACATGCTTGTGCACTCGCATATGCATGGGTGACAGAGGAATCTATTTTTTTTCACATTGCTGATAAATATGAAAAAAAGTAGTCATATTTGCTGAGGCTAAAACATGCACTAAACTTTCAAACAAGATTGGTGATATGTGTAACACTGGTCGTTATTATCTTTCTTACTCTGTCATTAAGGATTCTAAGTGCTTTACTTTTACGGTTTGAAGAAAGTACGAAGAGATTTGCGCACCAAGAGTGGAAGAATTCTGCTTCATCACTGATAATACCTACACCAGAGGAGAGGTATGGTTTTTCAGCTACTACTTGTACATAGCATTCATGAATCTAGCATTACTTAAAAAAAATCAAAGCCAAATCTTGCTCAATAGTCTAGCAGTATTGTTTGTGACATATTCTGTTGGATCTGGCTACATGGCAGGTGTTGAAATGGAGAGCAAAGTTCTGAATTTCTTGTATTTTCATCTCTCTGTTCCAACCACAAAAACATTTCTCAGGTAATGACACCATCTTCATACTCCACTAAATGCCATCCACTTTGCCGATCATCTAAAACGAGCTCAGGGTTTAGCCCGAACGGTTTGCCTGCCTCTCTTAGGACGCAAGAATGGATTAATCTGTCTCCTAATTTTCCTTTTTTTTTTCTTTCAGGAGATTCATTCAAGCAGCACAAGCAACTTACAAAGTAGTTTAACTTAGAATCCCAATCTACATCTTTTTCTATAAAATTCAGTAAAAACTAATTTGCATTTGTGTTGGAGTACAGGATCCGTGCATGGAACTAGAGTTCTTAGCAAATTATTTGGCAGAGCTGAGCCTAGTTGAGTACAACTTCTTAAAGTTCTTACCTTCCCTCATCGCTGCATCCGCTGTATTCCTTGCTAGATGGACCCTCAATCAATCAGTGCATCCATGGGTCTGTTCATCCTTGTTCCCCTCCCTAGCTTTTCTCTCTTGTTCTTTCTTATAATAGGAAACACCGTCTGAAGGACACATTTCCCATTTATTTTGGGGGGTTTTTGTTGAGCAGAATCCAACCTTGGAGCATTATACTAGTTACAAGGCATCAGATCTGAAAACTACTGTACTTGCATTGGAGGAATTGCAACTCAATACTAATGGTTGTTCCCTCAATTCCATTCGCGACAAGTACAATCAACAGAAGGTAAATTTTACAGATATATACAAAGAATATAAATTTAAGTTTCTGATAAAAAGGATTTTCTCCTTCTTCTGGTTGATGTTACAATTGACAGTTCAAATGCGTAGCGACAATGAGTTCCTCAGAAAGAGCTGTATCGGTCTTCTCAAGAAGATGAAGGAAAGACAGTTTGTCTTCTAAGACGTAAAAACAATGACCATTTATTCCTCCTTGCCTGGAGAATCATCATCCAATCTTAAAAAAAAGTTCAAGTTTTAGTTATAAAGTTCCTTTAAATTGTGCCCTCAATTCAATCTTGTTGTAAGTTGTAGCATTGTTGGCTTGACGGCTCTGGACCTTCCAGTTCCCGACCAACTTCACTACAACATTGTGTAATTTGTAAGTGTCATGTTTTCCAGTCTTTTTTATTTTTTTTTGGGTGGGTGGGTGGGTTGGGGTTTTCATTAATAAAATTCCTCTCTCCAATGGGAACCGGGAAGTTACCACCACTGTAATGAACCTTTGTAATCCAAGTACCCCAAGAAAGAAGAGTTCTCTCTCTCTCTCTCTCTCTCTCTCTCTCTCTCTCTCTCTCTCTCTCTCTCTCTCTCTCTCTCTATCTCTCTCTCTCTCTTTTTAAATGATATCTAATTATCCTTGGTTAACTTTTACTATTAGTTTTATTGTATTTTCATCCATTGAGTTTATGACATTCAACTTTTGGCACCAACTTAGATAAATTACCCTATGTATATTATATATAAAATGACTAATTGAATTAGTTTTTTATATTTTTTTTGTAGCAAAGAGATATTGTTAAAAAACCCTTCGTATCAAGGATGAACTTTGATAGCTGAAGGAAGAAAAGAGTTCCTAAAAAACTTCTATATAAATCAAACCACACCACAGTCAAATAACATCAAGCCAAGAAACTAAAATATGTAGGTCATGGACAAAACCTATGAACACACCAACAACAGACCGCCCAGGGTCTACACAATTAACCAATTCCTCTCTTGGCATCATCTATATGTAGTAATATAATTAGAAAAGTATTAAAATATCTTTATTTTTAAATCCTTCACACATTAATGTCCCGTATGGGCCGTTCTCTCCCTATGTTATAGGGACTTCTTATGGAGATGATCATCGTGCTGTAACTACGTCCTCAAGGTGGTCAAAACATGGGAGTAACAAAATGCAAGGTACGGTTTTGTTATTTTTATTTTATTAGCAGCATCAGCAAGAAGTACATCCGAAATATAATCCGATGATTCATAATTATAAAATAAAGATATTAGGGAGAAAAAAAAAACAAATCGAGCCAAGAAATGAGCAATCAAGTTTGCAGAACGACGAATCTCATACAATTTAAAAAACAAATTAAGAGACCACAATAAAAATCACAGAGGTGATTCACTCGGTTTAAAAGATCAAGTAAAGACATTAGATTTGATGCCTTAAGAAGAAGAAATATTTATAATGACGAGTACAATTAAACCAAGCTTTCATTACAAATGTTCCTTGTGCTTGAAGACGAGTAGATTTTTTTTTCGATTCGACTTTTTTCATTGTATCTTTTAAACTCGTGAATCATATTATGTTCTTGTAAATCGTAAACGACATGAAATGTTTTCAAGATTCTTTTAAGGATAAAAAAATAAATATCTTGAGACTAAAATCACACACAAACACTTGAATATAATATTGGTCTACTGCTTGAAGAATTACACCTCAAATACTTCTGAAATAATAAATAAAATTTTCTTAATTAACGGTGATCACCTATCATTGCAAATGTAATTTGTACCTAAAAACATGACAACTAATACTACCGATAGCGAACTATTGATGCTCCATGGATCGGAAAAATAACAAATACAAAATAAAAAATAAATGACAAAAATGGGACAAAAAAGAATCAACCCCTTATCTCATAGAGTACATAAAGAATTACACAATACAAGTTGGGAGAAGAAAAACAATGATAAAAGATAAAAGCCAATTATAATAGGTTACATGGGTTTAGGGCATTGAAAGATACATTTGATTGAGGCACCAAAAATGATGAGGGAGTTAAACCATGATAGACTGGCAAGCCAACTCTCTACCTACAAGATGCCGGTCAATGACTATATCAGACCAAATTTGACGTTTCAGTGCTGTCGTCGATGCCGGTGCAATAGGGAAAGATTTCCTACTTCAACCCCCCAGAACACGTTTGAGTCCGGCTCGTTGCTCCGGTGTCAACTTTGTAGGGAACTTCACATCAAATTTGATCCTAAGATCACCCCTATTACCAGGCTCCTTTGCAATTGGCATTCCTTCCTTAGCAACAACGAGCTCATAATCCGGGTGGATAATGTCAGTTATGGGCAACGACAACTTACGTCCATTAAGCGTAGTTAGATTTACAGTTGTACCCCCAAGTGCCTCGGCTAGTGACACCTTCCAGTCGACGATAAGATCGTTGCCATCTCTTTTGTAAATATCATGGGGTTTCTCATCAATTACAAATACAAGGTCAGCTGGAAGCTGATTTGGCTGTTCATTTCCTTTATCTGGGAAAGTAATCTTTGTTCCTTTCTTCCACCCTGGCTTCACATCGATGGTTAGTATTTCCGATTCCTGTGCTTGCCGCCTATAAGGATCCGAATTATTGTTCAATCAGCAAAATCAATATAAAGCATGAATATGATATACATGCATAGAAAACACAAAACCACAAAGCATGAAAGAATTGAACTAATTTGCCACCATTTGATTTGAAAACATAATTGCTTTTCTTTTCCTCTCCGAGTTCATTGAAAATGCATGCTTAGACTGTCAACTTGCAGGAACTAAAAGATATAAGGTAAGCATCCATCTTTGATGGGAGTTTCAGTTGATGTGATAAACAATTTCATTAGTTCCATCCTCGGAACACAAAACTGAATTTCTGAGCTTATCAAAATGAAACTTTAGTCAAGAAAATGCAATAGAGGATCATGCATTAGATGAATATATCCATACCCAGATGCATTGACAACAGTTCTTGAGATCTTCATCTTCCTTGTCGATCCAGTGTACAGCTCTTCAAGGGTGCAAGGCAATTTGCTCTCAACCGGGGGTGGTTTCCTGGGTGGAGTTGCATCATTGCACGTTCGAAAACTGTTGTCAGTGCAACCAAACCCTCCAAATTTCCCTCCATCGGAGTGGAACCTTGCAGACCTACCAGGTCCCACTGATCCGAATTCGAAAGGACTACTTCCAAAGAACTCGGCAAATATATCCTCGGCATTCCTAGGATTGAATCCACTCGACCCACAGGAGCCATTTCTTGATGATCCGCCACTGCCCGGTGGAGGCATGTTTTTCAACCCTTCTTCACCCTGCTGATTGTAAATTGCTCTCTTTTGAGGATCACTCAAGACCTGAATAACAAAAGTAACATAATTACATAATCCCCCATATCAAATCTAAAAGACAATGGATACCAGCTCTCGAAAGAGCTTAAGGACAACATACCAAAAATGTTGAAAGAGCTTAAAAGCTGCTATGTCTTCCTATCAGATAAATCGGTTTCTGCAAACGCAATGCATAACCATGTTGCTCGGACTCTTCATTATTTTTGAGGTATTCATGTCCAACACCCATATCTAACATGTGAATACGAGGATATAACCTCTAAAGATCCTCCAAATACATGAAAATAACTTTAGAAAAATCCAACTACATCCATATCGGATACATCGAAGTCCGAGTAACATAGATGCATTCATATTTTATACCTCCTCTTATTACCATTCATCAATTTTTTGCACTAATCCCTAATTTCCTTTCAAGAAAAACATATCTAATGCCATTAAACAGCAATGCAATTCTAAGATTGGAACAAGCACATAAATTTCTGCAGCCCTTCCCCTATCAACATTAATTCATTCAAGACCCTTTTTCTAAGCCAAAAGGTCATTGTGTTTCCTTCCAGGCAAACACCATAAGCAAATGGCAAAAGAACTTCATAAAGAAAACACAGAATGTAGTAATCTAAATTCCATCATTTTCATTTTCTATCATAAATTAACAATCCAAGAGAAACAAAATGAAGGGAAGACTTGCCTCATAGGCCTCTGAGATCTTCTTGAAATTGGCTTCGGCTTCTTTTTTATTGTTTGGGTTCTTGTCAGGATGCCATTTCATTGCTAGTTTCCTGTATGCTTTTTTCAGATCATCTTCCGTTGCAGTCCTGTCCACTTTCAACACATTGTAATAATCCACCCCCATTCTTTCTTGATTTTCTCTTTACAATTCAACCCGAATCCTATAAAAACATCAAATCCTTTCAACAATTTGAAAAAAACCCACGAGAAAAAAACAAGAAATTTCCACTTAAATCCCTCTTTCTGTCGGTAAATCCAAATTCTGCAGGAGAAAATCTATGAATTTTTTAATGTTCCATTGATTGGAACATGAAAAATGGGAGATTTTTTTCTGCAGACAAGATTAACACAAAACAAGAGATTTCCTGTTATTTAAACCAAAAAAAGAAAATAAAGAATAAGATAGGGGTTGAGATCTCCCTCCCTCGGGGAATCAATATGCTTGCATTTCGACCGTGTTTGTTGGGAGACTTTCAGTCCATATAAAATGAAACGGAGATTAAATCAATATCACTAAGATCGCTGTTTGATCTTAAGTACAAAAATACATATATAACCATGCATATATTTGAAATTTGGTTTTTTTTCTCTCCCTATTCCTGGAAAAATGGAAATTATGGTTTGCATTTGGCAATGAAGGTGCCGCGTAAAAGCGAATGTAATACAACTGTACATCTTAGGGCAGTCTTTGGTTGATGCATTATATTTTTTGAAGGGCAGCACCATCGAATTGGATCCCTTCCGCCATTTTTGAAGACTTTTCAAAGTTTGAGACTGAAGATTAGAAAGCGTTCCCTACCACTAGGAACGAGTCTGCTCTCTAGAATTTGGTTCCACATTTGGAGAGCAGCTGATATCTTCTTCCCTTCTTTACACAGGCCACTAATGAATGAGGCATAGGCAAAAACAACGGGTTTCGGTTTCTGTCTATTCATTTCCCCTAACAATTGAACAACCAAAAAGGTGATTGTAAGGAAGCATGGATAGGAATGTTGTGTATCAAGTCACGTCAGGAAGGAACTCGGTGTTTCTTACGCTCTTAAAAATCCGATATGCAGTTGCAAGTTACTGATTCTTGCAAAGATTATGAAGCAGCAAATGGCAAGAGACTACTGTTGGTGTAGGACTACTATGCCTCGTGAAGCAGCAAAAAGACGATAATTGTGTATGTAATCACATTAGGCTTACACCTATCACTTTGCATCAAACGAACAATTATAAAGCAATTACAGATTATGAACAAATCCTTCTTTCTTCATCAAATAAAACAATTACTAAGCAAT